TGCTCCTGCCTGGCACCCCGGCCACCGCTGCTGAACGCAGACGTGCCTGGAGATACTGCAAATGAGTTAGTGAGGACGGCTGGAAAATGAACTTGTATTTTGACCATGTCCCCCAGGTATTCACATACTGTGTCTCAAAACCTTTTGCCTTCTGGCAATACTTTTTTTGCCTGCATAGCGAATGTCTGGACAGGATTTCCGAGGGCAGTTTGGGCCACGTTTGGGTTGGTGCCAGTGATCCTGCTGTGCTGTGAGTTGGCTGCCCCAGGGCAGTGGGGTCTGCCAGTGCTGCACTTGACCTTCGGCGGCACAAATCTCTGCCCTTCCCTGTAACGCTGGTGCTAATGTTGCTCTGCAGCCAAAAGGACAGTGAGGACAACCTAAGCAAGAACTGCAAGAGCAACCGAGTGTCTGGCAGCTCAGTGGCCCAAGGAACCATCTCCAAAATGGTGACAGACACAAACCACCGCTGACTTACTTTCAGTCTACAGATGCAAGCGGACGATGTCCTTCCAGCTCAGCTGACATTCGCATCCCTTGTTACACCCATTTCGATCCCTGCAGAAAGCTGGTGTCAACGCATCTCCAAACAGAACCACTCCTCCCATGTCTCGGCAGCGGTGCTGGGAGCAATGACACCCCGGCAAGCCCGGGTGCCAAATCCACATGGACAGGGCTGAGAAACAACCACAGGGCAGAGGAGGAGGCGAGCAGTGATACCCAAACCCAGCAGACCCAACACTGGCAGCAAGGCTGTGCATGCAGCCCCTCTGCAGCCCCGGCGTCTTGGAAATGCCAGGCTCCCTTCCCACGTTTCTCTCCCGGCTTCCCGCTACCTTGGCTATTTGCAGGAGTAAAGAATCTCTCACCAGATACACAAGATCTTAAAAGCTCACTATTTGATCAACGCCAGATTTTCCAAGTAGCTTTCCAGCGGGTATTATTTCTACTGCTGCAATAATTAAGGTTGTGCAACTATTAGTAGAAGGATGCGAGCTGAGCACAACGTGTCACTTGTGATTGTAATTAAAAGCACAGCCGCTCAAATGTACGTTTGCTATTCAGATACATGCTCAGAAATGGCACCACAAATGTAATGCAAAGGCAGCACATACAAACAATTGCCCTTCAATTATGAATATTTGGATTTTGAACCTTTGTGAGTCATTAATAAATGTTATTTAATTATTAAAGAAAAACAAAGCAGAAGAAATGCATCAGGAGGTGGAAGCATTGTGTCACTTGACGCAGCCTTATAGCCTTCTACTGCCTCTCACTCTGAATGTCCCTGCTTTATTTTTAAAGGACGCAATGTCACCAACTGATTGAAAAACGGCAAAAATTATTCCTGTACACAAAGGAAGCCCTGCCAGGTCACTGAAAAATGATCCAACAGTCTCAGGAAGGTTTATCCTACGTGCAGTGAAGTTTTCAGGCACACTATGTCCAGATAAATCACCCGCGCTAAGGCACTCACTTTTTACTAGCTTTTTTTCTGCATTCGTCTTGGAAGGCCTGCCTTTTGCTCAACGCCCGACTTCCAAGGGTGCTGGTAAAAGCATCCAGCCACTGCCTGCTGGCGTCACCTGTAAAGCCATGACCTGACTGGCATGTTATAGCAGGGTCATACAGTCACAGACTTCCGAAAATCCCTATTTCAGCCTGCTGCTGCCCTTGAGGGCTGTCTCGTGGTTAGCAGGTATTGAAAGTGGTACTGCCAGAGGCTGAGATCAGAGCATTTGCTGTCCCGCACCGCACCGAGTCTAAGGGTGGATTCATCTCACGTGTCTAGGCTGTCAAGGCTTTTATGTGGTCTGGTTGTCTGGACTCCCTTTATGCTCGCTGGATAAAAAAACAGTTCTTCACTTGTCAGTATTTTAGATGTCTGCCTTTCGATGTGATGTACCATGACCTGGAACTGCCTCTTTCTCCCTGGCTTGGATTTATCTCTTTACATTCCCAGTGTCTGAAGCCAAGTGAGATGAATCCCACTGTTTTGGGGAAGTCAGGACCAGCTCCCCAGGATGATTATGCCCCTCATTCCTTTTGAAATGGGTGGAAGCGTCTCCAGTCCCCTGAGGATTTGGGGCCAGGGCAGGAGTACCCCCCACCCCCTTGCTTCTCACCCACAAGTATTAGTAGATGCTCTTGGACCCCCTGCCCTGCAGATCAGGCATCTTGTAAGCCAACTCCACTGCCTCTGTGAACAAGCAGCAAAACTGGGCCAGTAGTGATTTCCACCAGAAAAACACAAGGCTGGCCAACTTTGCTCAGACATTCCCTACTGCAAATAGCGTAATAACATTTACAGTGTTTATTGGCCACTTCATATACCAAACTGCTGTTTTGACTAGTCTTGAAAAAGGCTTAGGACTTCATCTGAGGTTTTAGGCTTCTTCATCCTTCTCCAGTCCACACCAGGTTGGATCTACAGGTGCTTGAGGCCAGGCTTCATCCTGTCGGTGCTGTAGCAGAGCCCAGGAGTGATGCGGAGGTGCCCAAACGCCGCAGGGCAGGGTCGGTGATGGAGATGGAGGGTGCCCACCCTGCTCGGGGCTACATTCCTTGTTCCTAGATGCACGGCTTTGCCCAGGACAGCGCTGACAGCAGCAGGGCAATGCCCATGCGATGGGGTTGGAGCTGCAGCTCCTCTCCATCCCCATCTCTCCAGGGAGCTGGCCATATGCTGAGCCCGTGGTGTCCACAGCTCTACCAACGGGGCTCCCACCGGGGAGCAAAGGCTTGGAAGAAAAGCCTGCTCAGACCAGGAGCATGGATAGGGCGAGAAGAAAGGAGTGCGGGTGTTTCAAAATTTTGCCAAACGCCCCCAAAGCTTTGTGTTGTTTATGAGCAAATGGTCTGAAGTTCCTCATGGTCTCCAAGCCACAGCGAGCTTCCCAGCAAGAGCAACAGCCCATGGAGGGAGTTTTTGCTGTGAATAAAAACACTCCTTCATCCCATTTGGAGTCCTTGAGCTGCAGGGAGATGCCACTGTCTTCTCTTGCCTGTGGCTACAGAGAACATTGGCTCCAGGGCATTGCTGGATCTAGCCAGAAGCAGTTCACCAGAGCCTGTCAGGATTGACAAATATTACAAAGTTGCAGCAATTTCATTTAAGTTGCATGTAAGAAACAAACAAACAAACAAACACCAAAAAAATGAAGAGTGGGAGTCTGACAGTGTAGAAGCATCCTCGTTCCATTTTCCTTTCAAATGACTTCTTATTTTGATCGTATTCTGTGGAGTCAAACATCCTTCATGACCAAAATAGGGTGGCGGGCTGAGGGGAGCTATTTTCTTGGAGATTTTCTGTATTTCCAGGTTTCATCCCAGCTTAGAATGAAAATCAAGTTACTACTCATGAAAATCTCCATGAAAATACATTTCCTTGTTCCATACTGCCCATCTCCTCGGCCATATGAACAGGCTGGTTATACTCCAGCAAGAGCCAATGTGGTAGGAATTACCTTTCCCTTTCAATTCAGAAAAGCACACAAGGGAATAAATACCGATCACGCAGTGGCTGGGACAGAAGGCTGCCATGATATTCATTTCTCCTCTGTGAGCCTAGCAGAAACGTTGTCTACAAGTCAGGTCAGAAGGGGAGGACGCCAAGGCTGAAAAGATGTTGAAATTCCTCTATGCTGAGACTGTCAGCAAAATGGCTATTTTTCATCATGCGGTTGAATTCAGAAGGCTTATGGCAATAACACCTCCCCAGTCACCTCCCTCCCCACCCCCCTCATTGCTGCTTGCTCGGCAGTGAGACCCTGCATCCAACACCCTGGCCAGCCGTGATGCCTGGTCAGCCACTGCTCAGAGATAAGGTCCAGCTTTATAAAATACCTCCTCGCTTGAAGTCAGCGTGGCAGCAAACCCCGAAAGGGGCAGTAGGTGCAAATGCTTTCTTGCTGTCCTTAACCCCTTGCACCAATTGTCTTTGGCCCCAGAGGAGCCCTGATGTCTCCAACCATCCAGAGTGTGCTCCAGGTCCCCCTCGAGGCATAGGCTGAGTCTCCACATGCTGCCACAGGCTTCTGGGGAGCCCAAGGAGCATTCAAGGAGCATGGAAAAATCCCATTTAAGAAACCAGCCAGTTACTGAAACTAAAACATTGGGTGGGAAGCCCAGTGCCAGCGTAGGCAGGACAGGCGTCCTGGGTCAAGCCTGGAATTTCTGGCCCAAACCACGCTTCCCACCGGCCGTCCTGGCCAGCCACACGTTCTTCTTGTCGCTTCTTGCCTAAAATGCGGGACACCAAATTTACTGTCAGCTACGTACCTGAGTACTCATCCTTCCCTCTCCCCATACCCCAGTTTCTCCTGGCTCAGAGCCCTTCCCTCTCCCCATCACTCTCTCTTTCTTCCCATTAGGTTTTCTTTTTTTTATAAGCCACTTCAAACGGTTTCACAATGCAGGACAGACACTCTTTGCTTTCGAGGGCTGCAATAACCATTCTCTTTGTTCAGAGCAGAGAGGAGGGAACGTCAGCATAACTTCTTATTATCCAGCATTAATCCAGCCAGCAGCACACAAGGGGACCAGATGCTGTGTTTAGCTGGGGTAGCTGTACGTTCAGCGGAGTTGCTCTTCCCCGCCGCTGAGAGCGTGCCGAGGCAGCACCAGAGCAGGTCTTGCCTCTGAAGAGCTGTGATTGCCCGCTGTAACCACCTGGTTTGTGTTGCCTTGTGAAAAACCAGCTGCAGAGAGAAGGTGTGTTACTGGGTCTCCAGGGAGTGAGAAATGCTCCGACCTTGTGTTAAAAAGCCGTTCAAGCTTAAGAAAAGAGGATGGGGGCAACATCTTGCTGGGAGGAGAGAGGTTTAAACATATTTGATAGCAAATATGTTAAATTAGTAAATATCCCCTTCTTCCTGACTTCTCCCCCAACAATTATACATGCTATGAAAAAAAATCGTACGAGGGTGGCGGCAGGGCAGTGCCCTCCTGACACGGGCACGGTCCCGCTGTACAAAAGGCAGGACAGAGGGATATCGGCAATGCCGTGAGATTAGTTCAACCGACACTTCACAGACACATGAGCCATATTTTCAACTTCTCTGCGCGGCCGGCCGGGGACGGAGGGCTGGTCCCCGCTCCCCAGACTCAGCCATCGCCTCAAATGCGGACATCCCCGCGGGGTGTTTGCGGACATTTCTTCCCACCCCGGTTTGTAGGTTTTAATCCACCTGCACATCTTCTTGCTCCACCTCAAGATAACCAGGTTAACACTGCTGCCAACATCGCCCTGTCCAGTGCATTCAGCCCCCCCCAATCTTTCTCCCGGGCTCAGCCCACCTCTCTGCAGACCCTCGCAGCCGGGAGGAGGTGTGTGCATGTCCTGCCAGGTGGAGGGGGAATAAATGAAGGACCTGGGAGGCTCAGCAGGCGATGACAGAGTAATAATAATAAATTGCCAGCACTAATTAACCCGTGCCATCCTGACTCTGTCTCTGCAGTGGCTACGACTTCGACTATGACTACTACAGAGACGACTTCTACGACAGGTGAGCAGGGGAGGCATCAGCCAAAGGGGCTTTCCATGGGGCGAGATCTTCCCTGCAGCGCGGCTCCTGCCGTGGGAGCGAGGTGGGGTGCAGGGTGGTCCTCCCCAGCCCGGTGCGGTGGGGTGCATGGCCAGGCTGTGCCCCGGCTCACTGCCAGCACTGCTTGGGCTTCGGTTGTGGCACCCGATCGCCGGCACAGCAGGGCTGGGTGCTGCAGGGCTGGGTGCTGCGGGGCTGCTTCAGCCCTCCCATCCCTCCCCACCGCTCCAGGCTCTTCGAGTACCGGGGCCGAGTCTCGCCGGTGCCCAGGGTGGTTCCCGTGAAGCGGCCGCGGGTCACCATCCCCCTCGTCCGGCGTGTGAAGGCGACGCTCCCCGTCAAGCTCTTCGCCAGGTCGGCTGCCATCGCCAACAGCTCGGCCAAGTTGAAGTGTGAGTATGTGCGTGGGGTGCAGCAGGACGGTGTGGAGACTGGTGTGCACATGGACCTCCCATCCCCAGGCATTCACCCACAGGGCCAGATGCTCTCAGGGAAAACCTTAAAAAAACCAAAACGTCTGGAAACAACAGCCCAAGTGAGGGCCCTTCAGAAGCCCGCGGCTGCGGATGCAGCAGGGGAAGGTGCATGTACAACCTGAGCATGCCAAAGCCTCCACAACGTGCCTGGACAACAGACACACAGGCTTTTTTGGGTGCATACCCGCAGCCACCCCGTGCAGCGAGGTGTGAGCATCACCGCGCGTTGATCCCAGGGATGCGAGGAGTGTGTTTCTAGCATGGGGTTTCTGGTTGATTTTTTAATCTGCTCAGCGAGGTGACTTGGGCCAGGCAGAGGGGTGAGGCAGGCGCCTCGGGCGCTCTGCGCGGCACTAAATGCCTTTTTTTCCTTCCTTCCTCCCAAGTGAAGTGCAGCGAGCTGCAAACAATCAAAACTGAGCTGACACAGATCAAATCCAACATTGATGCTCTCCTGGGCCGACTGGAGCAGATCGCTGAAGAACAGAAGATGTCCACAGGTCAGTTGGGTGCGCACGGATGCCTCAGGGCAAAGAACGCAGGGAAGTATCTGCAGATCTGGCCTTGAAACCATCGCAGCTTAGAGCATCCTCTGGGCTCTGACAGTGAAGTGTCGACCCCCCATGTTCCAGGGTGGAATCACAGGCCAAAATTACATGCCAGAATTCCCCAAATTACGGAATTGAGTTTTAAAATGATGAGGGTTTTTTTGTCATGTAGTTTGTATTTTTTTAGTTTGCTTTTTTGTTCTATTATTCTGTTCTGTTCTGTTCTGTTCTATTCTATTCTATTCTATTCTGTTCTGTTCTATTCTATTCTATTTTATGCTATCTGCCTCCCACGCTCACTCTGGAGGGATGCAGAACAATGACCTGCTCTGCCTGCCCACTCCAGGGTTGCTTTCAGGCAGCTTCCTCAAAATCAGCAAGATTTCCCATTGCAGAAAAAAACCTAGATCCATTATTTACCTACCGACTGAATTTGGGGGCCCACTGAATTAGTGTCATCAGGCTTCGGACATTGCCTCCCCCTTCCCTGATCCTGGTGGCTTGGCTCTTGCTCTCACAGAGGTACGGAAGAAGGCGGATGGCAGCAAAAGCGAAATCTCGCAGGAAGACACGGCATCAGAGGCAGAGGTCAACACGGAGGAGCCGCTGAATGGGGATGAGGGTGAGGAAGAGGGTCTCGCACGGGATGAGTGTGAAGATGAACTGGTAAGAGAGTTTGGATAATACATCCCTCCAGCCAAAGGAGTTCAGTAATGGACCACATTTTTACTGGAACTTACTAAATCCCCAGAAAAATAGTTTTTCCTTCCTCAAAAGCAATTGTTGTATTTAAATCCCATGATTGTTCACAGCTTGTTCTTTCAAACTGTTCTGCTGCTTGCAAAAGCATTGACCTAGCAAATGCATGTAGAGACACTCAAGAAACATGGTTGGCTCTTGAAATTTGGACCACATTTATCCTTGATTTCACAACTATCAATTAATGGTTAAAACAAGTTGCTCTGCTCCCAAGTAATTCCCAGATGGATTGAAACATAGGGCAAAGACAGGCCATGTTTTATTAACTGCACTTTCCTGACAATGTGCATTTGCAATGCCTTTTCGTCTGAATGGACACCAAATGGCATAAACCTAGTTATAAAGTCGGAGCAAGCCGTGACCGCTGCGCTGTACATCCATGGCGAGGGCAGCACTCGAGCTGCCTGATGCCCTGCCGCCATCAGCCCCACTGGTGATAGTCCTGCCCCGAGTAAGGACACTCCCAGTGAACCCAGTGAGCAAATTTGTGCCTAAAAAGCATCTGGATGGGAGCCCTCTTCTTGGGTACTCTGATGGCAGCACTGTCATTTATCCCAAATTAAGGCTCTTCTGATCAGCTCCAAACCCAGGCAAAAGGCAACAGGGTGCTGGGGTGGAAGGACAGCTCTGCTTGCTGCCTCTTCCCCAGGACCGCAGCCCTGGGAAGCTAGGCTGGCTGGCACGGCTCTCCCCCGGAGGCTGGGGCACGTCAGGGCAGCCTCTGAGCCTGGACTGAGCGTCCCCTGCAACAGCTCCGCTCCTTCCCCACCCCGGCACTGGCAGCAGCAGAAGTGAGGATGAAGCTCAGCATCCCTCTCTTCTTCCTCACCCCCTCGTCGCTGGGGTGCCCGCACCGCATTGCACATGGGCGGCACTCTTCCTATGGCCAAAAAGCTCCTCTAAATCGAAACATTTCCCAGCTTGTTTGTATTCTTTTCTGCCCTACCTTAGTCATGATGGATGAGGGATCTGAACAGCGTCTTTCAGCTGTTTCAGTTCCTGGGGCCTCATAGCTGAAGTCTCTGACTCCTGCTAAATCTAAAAAGAGATGATTAAGGGGAGACGTCATAACAGATGCTGTAAAGAAGAAGGGCAAAAGCTGGCCTCCATCTCTATGATGTCAATCGGGATAAGGAAGGCCAGGTTTGAATTACATCAAAGGAAACAAGTAGTGGAAATTAGAGGTAAAATTTCTGATGCTAATGATGATAAAGCACACAGCCTGTCAACAAAACAATGTGGGATAAGAAACCAGAGTGGACAGACATCTGCTGGTAATGATTTAAGAAGAGCTGGTCTTCATTAAGAGCAGATGAACAAGATGACTCTTTCAGCTCCCTTCCATCTCTATTTTCTCTAACTCTCTGGTCCTAAAGTGGCATTGAGATCAGAAATATTTTACTGCCAACATCAGACAGGCTCAGCTCTGCTCAGCATGGGGCAGGTTAGTGTGTGCAGTTCGACTGCAGGGATGTTCTCTTAAACACTGCAAGGCGACTCACAAAAGCCATCCTTCATATTTTGCTCCTGACCTTACAACACTGAACAGTTCTGAAGTCTTTCCAGTTCCTGGGGAGCGACTCCTTTATCCCAGGTCTCTTTGGCTTACACACACCAGTGTAGCCTTCACAGCCTGCTGTCCACGGGCATGGTGCCCACGCCGGTCCCTAATAGCATTACCTGCCCTTGGCTCTGAAGGGCACTGCTGTCGCAGAAGAGTCAGAGGTCACTCAGACAAATCTGATCTAATAGTTAGTTTACTGAGTTCTAAATTTAGGTGTGTAAAATATTTTGTAAGTGCAGTTGGATTGGTGGCAATACTGGTCAATACTGTATTATTTACTACACTTAGAGTTAGTATGGGATACAAAGATTATCGTGTAAGCTTACTATATCTATCTTAAATGTTACAAGCATGCAAAAAAATGTCACTTACCAACCCATCGATGCCTGGTGTCAGGTGAGGGATCTCTCAGCCTCTCTCAGGGGTAACCTCAAGAGGCGTCCCTACGCAAGGGGAGATCCCCGCCGCGCAGCCAGCGGCTACGGAGGGAGAGCTCAAAGGGCCCTGATGGCTGCAGTTATTTGTAGCATAAAGTGATTGATTCGTAGTCAGATTTTCTGCTGTGTTCATGCAGTTTCGGCCGCTTATCAGCCCAGTCTCCAGCCAAACCATTGGTTTTTTTTGTTTTGGTGCTGGGTTCTCACTGATAGCCTCACACAATAGGATTAACTTTGTTTAGGCTTACTTGCTGAGCATCTGCCTGGACCAAAGTCCCTTTAGTTCAAACAGGAGGAGTGCATCCATCGCAAGTGGGAAAGACACGGTTTATGCAAGGCAAGAACCAGACCTGCCAACACTTGGGCAGCACCCAGCACAGAGGCTTCCCTGCCATGAACCTCTTCCCCGTGGTGACAAGTGGGGAAGATCCAACTGGACTTGGGTCTAGGTCCCACCTTTACCCTGTAGGCAACCGTAGGATGTCTCCTGCGGACCAGGAGGCCTGAGCATCCCTGGTCATAGGGGAGTTCACTGAATCAGAGCTCTTGTGAAAATACTACGGCTAAGCAGAGTGGTGCTTCACAGTGGTGGTAGCCCCAGCTGGGTGAGGGGGAGCGTTTTAGTCCCCGAGGCAGTCAGGCACACAATTTCCATTGAAGGTCAATGGGAGCTGGGCAAATACTTCCTTTCAGCCCCACTTCCAGTGCAAAGTTGGCTGCCCTGGCTTTGTGCACAAATCTCTGCTTGGCCTTGGTGAAGTTTCCAACATCACCTGGGGAAATCAAGTCCAAAATACACGCTGCAGCCCACAGGGAGAAGGACGAAGGGGGCCGCCCTCCCAGCAGGCGTTTGTGCCCTTTTCAGAGAGGGTGGGCAAGAAAGGAGCTCTGCGGAGGAAGGATAAAGTAGGTAATGCTTCGTTCCCACAGGCTCTGCCACTAGGCTCAGGGACCTGGGTGGCCAGAAGACAGACTGGACCAGTGAAAACCAAGAAGAAAAAAAAGCAGCATGGAGTACCTTGGCCTTTTCCATGTGCTTTGTCACTAGGTCCCTTGGTCCCCTGCCCCCTCACGCAGTGAGCTCACACTTTCCTTAGCCTTCCTTTTGCTGCTGGGGTACCTACAGATGCTCTTTTAACTCCATCACTGCGCACTGGAGGGATGGCTCTATATTCCTCCTGGGGTCTCAGCTCTGCTTTCCATCTTCTAGGTTCTGCCTTTTCATGCAGGAAAAAGCTCGGTTGGAGCTTGCTGTTCATCCACGCTGGCCTCCTGCCACACCTGCCCAATTGTCATCAGAACAGGCCATTCTTGTGCTTCAAGGCAGGTGTCCTTGAAGATGACCCAGATGCCCTGGCCTCCTTGGCCTCCGGAGCAGTCTCCCTGCCAAGCAGATCCCTGAACAACCCAAAATCTGCTCTCTCAAGTTCAGGGATTTGATTCTGCTCTTTATCTTGGCCACTTCGCTCAGGATACTCAACTTCACAGTCTCATGGTCACTGCAGCCAAGACTTCTCTCCATCTTCACATCTTTGACTAGTTCTTTCTTGGTCATCAGTAACAGTCCAGAAATCTCCTGGGTTGCTTGTACCCAGCCCTGCTGCCCTCCCACCAGATGCCAGCGCAGTTGAAGTCCCCCGGGAGTACACGGGCCTGCGATCAGGGGGCTTTTTCCAGCCATCCAGAGGAGCCTTCGTATCAGGTGGTCTGTAGCAGATGCTTGCCATGATGTCACCCATGTTGGTCTGTCCCCTGATCCTCTCAGCTGACTCATCAACTGTTCCAAGACAATTCCTTTGCCCAGAGCACGTGCCACCTCCCCTGGCTTTCCTGAGGAACCTGTTCCCAGGGCGCTACCTGCTCTGCAATTGCAGAGAAGGAGCCTTTGTTCTGTTGCCAGAAGTCACAAGCCTCCAGACTTCCCTCTCTTGGGAGCCTCCATCCACAGCTCCTTTGAGCGTAGTCTCCAGCTGTCCCTTCTTCGTGCGTTGCAGTCCTGAGGCTTTTCCCATGTGGGGTCTGTGCAAAGACCCTGTTGGTCTCCCCCAGTGCCCTGTAAACCAGCCTGCTGCTAAGAAGATTGGGACTGGGTTCCCTTGCCTTTCCCTTCAGATTACCTACCATCCCCTGCAGACATCTCCTGGATCCATTTCCATCTCTAAAATTCACCACAAAATCTGGCCTATGCAGGAGGTAAAATCCTACTGCTGAGCACCTAATTCTTTTAATGATACTGCATTGCAGAACGGCTCCAGGAGAGGGACTTTCACATGCCGTGCTTTCAAAACCACTGTTGCATGGGGAGTGGTTCAGGACACCGGCACTGTTACTGTGGCCTTTGGAGTGATGATTATTATGGGTGTTATCATTCTGGATGATGAGTTTGGCTGCAAACCAGTTTCTGTGTTCAACAGCAGAGTCATTGCATCATGCACGATTTGCCATTGCGGACTGACTGTTCCTTGGCATCGTCGGGCAGTTCCTGTAACGCGGGAATGCCTGTTCCCCGGTGCGGGCCATTTCTAGATCCCAAATTAACTTCTCGCAGTGCTACAACAAGGCACGAGCTGTGCAAGCACACACAGTAAACTTTATGAAAGTGCTGAGCATGGACTTAACCTGGCCATGCAGAAATGAGGCATGCAGTCTGAGCATGGCAACTCATGCCACAGGCTCGAGACCTTCCCTGGGACGTGCCCACTGGAGGCGCTGACTCTGGTGCAGCCCAGGTCAGACGCCTGACTTTACACAAGGGAAGGTGGGCTTAATTTCATCCCAGTCCCTTTGAGATCAAAATCCAGGAGGGAATCACACATCCCAGGTCTGGTTGGCAGAGCCCTTCCAGAATAAGGAGCCAGAGGAAATTTTTGGGTTTCCCTGGGACTGTGCCTGCCAGACACCACAGCCACGGCACCCAGTGTCCACATCAGGTGTGTTTTGTAGCTCCTCCACCACGCTGAGCAACCTGACACTGCGAGCTCTCCCCGCCATGGTACCAGCTGGTCACCACATGTGCGGTGTCGCGGGGTCCCAGGCAGGGCAGGAGGGACACGTGGTGATTTACTGTTTCTGGTTCCCTTTTCCCTCCAGGAGAACAGCCATTACACACATGCGGAGGATGCCAGGCTACAGTAACCAGGTACAGCTCACACACTGCGCTTTAGAGGCTGATTCTGGGCAAAAGCTTTCATTCCATGCGTGTTGGGGTGGGAGGGGTTGCTGCTTCAGAAGATGCTCTTTTCCACTGATTCTCTGTTTTCCTAGCACTGAGCCTGGCTGCTCAGCTGGGTCACCGATCTACCCCCTCGCTCCCTTTCCTAAAATCACAAATCTTTGAGGTTCAAGGAAAATTATGTACCTTTTTTTCCCTGCCCCCGCCTCCCTCCTCTCCTTGCAGCCCATTCAGAACAGCAGTGAGCAACAGTGTGAGGAAGGCACGAGGCTAAACCCTGTCCTGGCACGTTGAGCAAGACAAGCTGAATCGAAGTGCTGCTGTCATCTCTACCTGGCATTCAAAAGGAGAAACATGGCCCGACATCTTCCATCCATCTGTAAAGCAAAGACAAAGAAAACTCATCATCCCAGTGAATCCCCACTACCCCGTGCAATGGATTCGGAGCTCTGCAGCCAGCAGAGGCAGGAACCAAACCCTGCGCAATCCGTAACTGTCACTGACTGGATAACGGGAGAGCGGTTGTGTCACCAAATGAGTCAGAGATGTTATAGAGCTTTTTGTAGGGGAGGAGGGAGAACTAAGCCTAACCCAATAAAGACAATTTTTTCCCGTGCTAGGTGAGAGCCAGAGCATTTGCTAACTGGGGGAAAAGTACTGTCTCAGTTTGGACAATTTGTGTTCTCACGCTAAAGGTCATGTTGAGGAAGAGGGAGTGGGGTGAGCTGTCCTCCCAGAACGGTCACCTCCTGTCATGTCTCTTTTGCCCCATGAGCTGCCGCAGGTACACGGGCACTTCCAGGTGGAAAGGAGTCGGTGCTGGTGCATGTGCTGTGCTCTTTGCAGCTGCTCGAAGAGAAGGGAAGGGGAAAGGAAGCTGCCTGCAGGAAAGCAAGTGATCCCAAGCAGGAGAAACAAAGCATATGTCATCTTCAGTGCTTCGGTATCCTCGTTCTCCGCTGGGAAACCACTATGTAAAGGCTGAGCAAGTCTCTGCACAGTAAGGGGGTGCAAGCGTGTGTGGATGAGGCCCTTCTCTTGGACCAGCTGCTCCCTGGAAGGGATGTAATCCCCCCACTTCTCCAGCCCAGTGCCAGAGACATCAGCCCCTTCCCCAGGGTGCTGATGTCTCCTCCCGCCCCAGCCTCGCTGGGTCTTCACACCGACGCGGCACGCCAGGAGAGCAGCGCGACGGCTCGGGCTCCTGACTGCGAAGGCTGTGCTCCATCACCAGCCTGGCGGGTCTGCGCAGCATGACACCTTGCCTGAGCGTAACGAGACTGGTAACGGTGAATACCCCGAGCACGGTGCATATGGGCGTGCAAGCACCTCCCCTGCCTACCCAAATTCAAGCTGCTTTTGACCCACGCCACGTCCCGCGAGCAGAGGGCTGCAGCAGCCAGCATGCGGCTTGTTGTGGGACCCCCCTTACACCGCACACCCAAGAGGTTCTCTCAGCCTTTCTCTTCTTGTTCGTTCCTCCTTTGTGGGCTTACCCAGTTTTTCTGAGTTCAGGGGTAGATGGGACTGAAATTGCACAACACTTTATTCAGATCAGGTGTGTCCTGCCCATCTCCCCTCTTCCCCTCCAAAACACACACACAAACACACATCAGTGCTTTGAATCCAGAACGGTGTCCACAGCTTCTCCTTGGTCAAACCCTCCCACAAAACGCGTGGCCCCCAGGTCGTAGGGAGTGCGCTGAGAGGGAACTCCTGCTTTCTGCTCCAGCGCTCAAAGCCAGACCTCGTCTACAGCATCTCTCTTTGAAGGGTGAAGGGAAAAACAGGTCCCGGGGGCCACGCTTCCCTCCCCCGAGGGCCATCCTGGAGCAAGCATGGCTCTTGAAGCACAATGTTTTATTTGCATTTCTTAGTTTCAAATAATTCATGAGGGATTAAAGGGATAACCGTGCTTTCCCCTACCTTTTTCCGGTTCCTGTACAATTTATCCATTGTGTTGTACTGAGCCGTTGTAGAGCTGTTTTCTAGGCTTTGAGAGATGAGCTGCAGTTTTTGCTATGAACTGACTGTGGTGCTGATGTTTGGGAGAAAGGTGACCTTGTACATACAATCCTGTATAATAAAAGAAAGAAATCTAATTTGCTTTCGCTCTCTTCTCTCTGTCATGCGTACCACACACACACACACACACACACACTGTTTTCCTCTATTTCAGACAGGTTAAGTCGTCTTTCCCTTTCTAAGCTTCCGCGCTGCTCACAGGATTTGCTTTCCCTTACACAAGGTATATCCCACCGGGCTGAGCAAAACATCTGGGTTCACAGGGGCTCTGGGCTTTTCCTCCGGAGACCTGGAAACTCCATGCAGGAGAGCAGGGGACAAATCCAGACCTTTAGTCTCTGGAGTTTGCACTGGTCCAGCTCATAACAGACTGGAAAAATGAGGCTGCTGTTCCAGTTTGCACGAGCCAACGGTGCTAATAAGCGCCCCTTAAGCACAATGTCTTCGGGCCGACTCCGCAGGCCCTTCCTCAGCAGAGCAAAGCTCACACCGTGTTGCCAGCTGTGTACGTGTTCACTGGAGTAATCATCCAAACCTGGCACGTTTGGCACCTGAGCTGTGTCTGGAGGGCACCGGTGACCACATGGGGAGAAGCCAGCTGCTACCACACTTTCAATGCTTTTTTAAGTTTCCAGTCCTGGAAAGTTGTCTGCTGAGCCTGGCCTGAACTGTCATCCAGCACTGGAGGGCAAAGCTGCCTACTGCATCTGTTCAAGTTCACGTGAGTCTGGGGGGATGCTTGAACATCCATCCGTCCATCCCTCCTGCCATCAGTCACCAGTTCGCTTCAAGATGAGGAAAGCAGCATGGTCAGACTAATGGCTGGACATCTTTGCAGCTAGGAAGAACGAGGTAAAAAAAAAAAAAAAAAGCACATCAAAATGTTTGGCTATCAAGATCAAAATCAGCCCAACCTTTAGTCCGCTGACCCGTGTACCTGGGCTCTGAGAGCGACCATGGCTCAGTGCCTCGGAGGAGGGCAGAGCTCCATCCCCCCCAGCCCCTGCCTCACCGGCCAAACGCTGAGCCTGGCGCCGGGTAATTGCAGCGCGGTGCAGCTCATCAGCTTTAGGCCATTGGAGCATGGTCGAGATCTCCTTTCTTAATTATTTTGGGGGGAGAGCGAGGGACTTTGGGAGCTCTTATGCAGGCCCCTGTATGGTAATTAACTTTGCTGTTGGCTGTAGATAGGGCCTCGACGAAATGAAGCCTGGGTTTTTCATGCTCTTCGAGTTCTGTATGTGACTCTGCAGAAAATCTTCGCGTGAAGAGGCGAGGGCACAGCAGTGGGGTGGGAAAGGGAACGCACAGCACCCCTTCCACCTCTTCAGGCCATGAAGCGGCTGCAAAGCTTCCTGCGGCTTCACTGGGCCCATCGGGAGAGGAGCAGAGGGAGAGGAGGTGCCGCCGGCAACCCAGCACTGCTTTCCCAGGGACGGAGCGGGCGGGGGATCGGCAGATGCCCACTGCAGGGGCGCGAGGCACAGGCAGAGCTGCGGAGAAAGTGGCGGGTGAAAGCACATGGGCTGTAGATGTCACAGTGGAACAGACCGCAGGGAAGAGCAGAAGCTCCGTTACTGGGCTTGTTCTGGTTGACAGAAGGATGTGTGGCCCTCCCCAAAGCATTTTAAATATCCGTGACGCAAAAAGATCTGTCAGATCTCGTTAGCTCTTGAAAGAATGTAAAGGGGTCCCACCCTTCGTGCACCCAACCTCCTTTTCCATGATCCAGTGTCCCCATAGAGTCGCTCCCTGTACGTTGTCCCTGCCCTGCTGTGATGTGGGAAGGTGAGGGTTGGGCCAGTCCATTTTCCCCCAGCATTTCTCCCAGGGCAACAGCTAATTCAACATCTGCACACTCTGAAGAAAAATGACCAACACAAATTGAGCGACTCAAATGAACATACACACAGTTTCCATCTTGTGAACTGGGAAAAAAAATGCTTTTGTTAAAGCCTTTCCCCACCACCCACAAAGACAAGATACCATTACCAAGTGCCCTGGACCTCGCTTGGCTTCTCACATCTGCTGCTCTGCTGGTTGCCGTCCCATCTGCGTTTGGTGGCGACAGCAGCATGGTTGTTGTTTGAAACAAAACTGAAGGTCTCAGTCCCCACTGCCTTGCCTGCACCTCTACAAAGGAAGCATGAAACGTATGAGGTTGCTGACACACGTTGGGCTTAAATGTGCTGCTCTGGATGGGAACAGCAGATGTGCAGGAAGTTTCGGTGCTCTGCTTTTTCATTTGATGGCCTCGGTGGTCATTAGAGCAATAGAGCAGGGTTACTCCGGTCCCAAATCCTCCTTTTATGTGCTTCTGGACATGGAAAGGCTATCTGTCAGGCCAAAATGCCTGTGATCTTGCATTCAGTTTGAGTCAGGAGATGCAACACTAACTTTATACACATATAGATACTCACTAACTTTAATAAATCCTTTTAACTTTAATAAGCATCATGGTTAAAGTCCATGCGGCACTTTGGAAATACTTCGGTTACTGCAGCTGTAACAGGACCCATTCTTTGGGGAATTTGTAAAAGCCAGCTGCTGCCTTTGTGAAAGTTACCATATTCCTCCTCCATTGTCTTCCCATTATCTGCAGGAGACTTAATTCCGTATTTTTTCTCTTCTGAAGAAAGCTGTGGAAACCTTTGGAGATGTGGTCAAGAACCCCAAGGGCTCCTGGTGGAGTCTGTCCATCCTCTGCCAGGAAAACACACCCAGGTCTGGGACAGGGATGGTCTGATGCCGAAAGGGCTCAGCCATATCCAAAGTCCTCTGCACGTGTCCGGCAGAGGGGCCCGAGCAGCCATTCCTGCACTGAGCCCTGCGCCGCTGGCACTGCTCCCGTACCCATCGTGGCGGCGTGTGGACGGGCACGTGCCAGTGTGGATGCACTGTACCAGTTTAGAGAGAAAACCCTCAAGTTCAGCACCTTTTCATTGCCCAGATTTACTTCCTATCAGGTGGATTATTTTCTCTGACAGGTTTGAGAGGGTTCCTCAAACACAACTTCTATGGATCCCAGCTTTCACCTCCTCCCTGGGCTCACAGCCCCAGTGATTCACCCAAACTAGCTGCAAAGGAGACCCAGAGAAAGCGTGATTGAGATAGACAAGATGCGAGAGGGGGAAAAGGGGAGGATAGGGGTGAGAGATGCAGGCAGAAGCAGGAACCCAGTCTCCCAGCCCTGCCCGCAGAGCTGCCTGCGGCACGTGAGCCTCCTTGCTGGTGCCTTCTACTCCCGTTTGCCAGCAGACATCGCTGAGGGTGAAGCACCCAGAGATGCAGCCTCCCCTGTCTGCTCACCAACCACTTCTTCACCTCTCCTGCCCCGCTGGTGAGCAACCGCTGCGGCTCCTCCTCAGCACCGCAGCTGAATTCACCACGCTTGGGAGCCAGAGATGTCCCCGCTTGG